ATTCCTGCTTTTTAAAGGGAGAAGGACTGTCAGGCAGCTCTTGCTCTCTTCAGTGGACGATGGTATGCAGGCCGACAGCTTCATTGTGAATTTTGTCCTGTGACAAGGTGGAAAACTGCTATATGTGGTGAGTCACAAACTGAGAATGTGTGCTACTGAAGATGTACTTACAGAAGTGAAAAAGAGGGAGTTAGCCTGTACCTTTCAGATCTGCCTGATGTTGTAGTTCATTTTTGTTTGGAAGACAAACATTCTGACTTGCTTGTGCAGATTTAGGAAAGAAAGGGAATATTCCTGCCCTGTCACATGTGTGTCTGAATTGTTCTAGTGGATTTGCCTTGGACTGAAGAAGAAGGTTTGGATCCTAGCTTTGGAAATAATAATCTTAAAGTGAAACTACAGGAAGTACCAATTTATCTCTTTTTAAGCAACAGCAGTTTCTGAACCATCAGCAATTCTTAGCAGTAACTATCACATTTAACTTACCTATATTTACATTCTTAGATTAAGGTAGTAAAATTATTTATGAAAATTGTTTTAAGCTAAAACCTTCATAGCTGTTAGAAAGTTAATTCCAAGGAAAGTACATCCTGAAAATTAATCTTGTGTGAATTAAATTGATAGGAGGTCAGATGCATGTTTTTCTGTTTGAAGAAGTGAAATGCAGTTTATTAAGTTTCTTTCTGGTAGGTGCCTAATGAAGAAAGGGGTTTAACAGGTCTGGTTCATAAAAAAAAAAAAGCAAACCCTAATCTGTTGCAGGCTTATTTGAAAGGCAGAAGTGTCCAAGAGGGAAACACTGCAATTTTCTTCATGTATTCAAAAATCCAAACAACGAGTTTTGGGAGGCCAATAGAGACATACGTATTTCTCCTGAACGGACTAATCAGTTGTCTAAAAACTCTGAAAGGAGAAACAGGACGAGCCATCGTGATGACTATTACAGCCGCTCGAGGAGAAGGGGCAGCCCCAGCCCAGATCATTCTTACCGGAGAAATGGAGAATCTGAGAGAAAAAAGAACCGCCGCAAAAACAAGAGAAGGCGCCGGTCAGGAAGGTCAAGAAGCAGAGAACGGAGGAGGTCTCGCAGCAGGGGCAGAAAGAGGAGAGGCCGCAGTCGCAGCAGAAGTCATAGTCGAACACGCAGCAGGAGCAGAAGCCGGAGTTCCTCTCGATCCAGGAGCAGGGGTAAAAAGAGATCGAGCAGCAGAGGAAAGAATAGTGAAACTCCCAAAACAAAGTGAGAATTACTTTTAGAAATTGCTAATTGGTCAAACCTAGAGCTGACGAAGCTATCTTTCCAGTAGGGCACCAGATATATTTGAGTTTCAAATAAAGTGTTCTTGCACATTAAAATGTTTCTTCCTAATAAAGGAACCTAGTTTATTGTGTGCTAAGCTTCAGAACATTAAAAGTTTTAAGTCCTATATAAGGTGTGAATGTCAAGTACTCTAGCTACTCTGTCCTTCTGAACTGCTGCAACACCTGGATGCATACCGAGTACACATAGAGAGAGAAGTAAAGCTTATTTGGTATATGCTTATTTCTGTGTTACGTGTGTGTTAAGTGTTTACTGTCCCCATAAGGAGTTAGTACAGAACAGCCAGTGTGCTGTAAATTCACACCGCAGCATACTGCAACCTGAAGCCTGTGTAGAAGGCTGCCATTTATATTTTCCATCTGTTCATGGGAAATCTCTTTCAAGACAAAGTAAATATAATCATGTTATGAGTTGGAGAAAAGGGATCTAAAAGACATCACTCTTTGATTGTACAATACTTGCCCAGTAGGAGCTTTGTGGTCACAAGTGTCGGATTTTTCTCTCTCCCCTGACAGAGCTGCTGAGCTAAGTGCCTGTAGGGATTGCAGTAGATTAAAACCAAGTACAGAGAAAAACAATCAATTTATTCAGTATCTTAATCCCCAGGTACGAGTGGAGACCATGCAGTTGTAATCCTTGAGTGAGGATAGAAAATACTGTGCATAGCTCTTGGTTGCATACTGTTTGTAGTTCAAAACAACCTGCCTGACCTGTGATGGAGCGGTGGAAAAGTGCACGCCTGGTAACCAAAGATGCATATATGTACTTGTGAAGGCTCAGGATGCTGGCAGGGTGGCTAAAGAAACAGAAGGGTTTATAAGTGAAACAATACTTCAGGTTTTTGGGAGAGGAGGACTTGATTTTTTAGGCTTATCTTACAAATGGTTTAAGGCACCCTACTGCCTAGCTCTCCTATGGTCAATGTGGAGAGTAGGGTACATAAAAATGAAGTTATCAGGACAAAACCTTTTTGAAGTGACAGCTTTATTAGCAAAGTAGCTGCAATTAGATAAATCCTTACAAATATTTCTTCCAAGTGGAAGACTTGTGCTGTTAGATGGACTGTACTTCACTATTTAACTTAAGGTATTTAACTTGGGTACGTAGGTGTCTTTAGGCGCTTGGAGAGAGCAGGTTGTGGCACTAAAGGTGCCCTTGAAGAGTCTGCAGAGACAACTCCTTCTCTTCAGCCTCTCTTAGGAACTTGGGCTTCTGCTGTTTGAGTACAGTTCAGACCACTGAAGTCGGAAGCCTAAAGCAGAAATGCAGTGATCCCAAATAGGTATTCATTACAATTCCTACAATGTAATAAAGTCCCATACAAAATCTGGATATCCAAACTTTATAGCATTCCTCACAAGAACTTTTTTTCCCTGAGGATAGTTCAGAGTGAATGAACATTGCTTCTGGATATAATATATATATATATTTTTGCTTTTCTAAATGCATACTGCACCTAGCATGCTGATTATACATTTTCCTTCTTTCATGTGTAACTGTTGTCCAATATGGAGTAATACAACAAAAGTGCTATATATTGATGTTCAGTTCAAACCCGACTTTCACTATATATTGTCGTAAGTGTAGGCAGAATTGTAGCTTAGTTAATTTGATTAAATGTTTTAGTTATTATCAGATATAGGACTTGTAACTTCATAGCATAACTTCTGAAATAATAACTTTGTTTGAAAGGCATATTTCAAAGGATAGACAGCACTAAGTCTTAAATTACATTTGGGAAATTCGTGACCACCGGTTTCTTGTGCTGTACCTTTTTGTGCCTAGACCTTACAGACAGGTTTTCCCCAAGGTTTCTATTTTTTTCAGAGATGCTCACTTGTCTAGTAGGGTCACTGGTGCAGAATGTGGCAGACTCCAGCAGGACTGAACTGGCAGGCCAGTAACACCTCCCTTTGGATGGTGCTGCTGGCTTCCCACAGCTGCTGCTGCACCAGCCTGCTGGTTAAGGCTGACTCCTGCCATCTGTAGTGTGCTGTCCATCCCGTGTCAGGTGGCAGGCTGTGGCTGAGCATTATCCGAGTGAAATCAATTGCCGAGCTCAAAGGGCAGTAGGGGAATGGGTGGTGGGAACCCATGACCAGCAAAGCTGGCTTCTGTAGGATTAGAAACCGGGTGCCAACTAATACCCATGTGAGAATTCCACAGGTAATGAGGCTCTATGTCCCCACAGTTTTGTAATGGGATTTGGGAAGCTGAGCTGCTGTATTTTTTTAAAAAATAAGTTCTTTAATAAATTAAAAAAAAAAAAAGACTTGCTCAGAGGTGCATGTAAAAATTTAAATACACTTTATTTCTGCTACTATAACGGCTGAAGCTTCAGCTTTTTTTTCTTGAGGCCTGGACCCAAATGTGTTGGCTATACCTGTGCAGTGTAGGACTGGTAGCTGTGATTATTGTTCTCTTCTACATGCAGTCTGTTTATTACACAGAAATTGAATGCTGTAGAGCTGACATTTATTTTGTATTTGTTAGCATGAAACCTGGGACTCAACCAGTTTTCTGACTTCCGTATATTTCAATATTGTTTCCCTACTTCATAATCTTTAGTGTTATATGCATGGTTTTGTGTTTCCTTATTAGCTGAGCTCTTCATTCTGAAGAGACAAAAAGACTAGAAGTTTTTACTTGTTAATCTTAATTCTTCTTTTTCCAAAGGGGAGAAACCCCAGAAGAATGCAGAAAGGATTTAAATTTGCAAGGAATAACTTGTTCTCACTGCCTGTTACTCTGCATTATTCCACATAAAAGGACCTTAGAAACTGAATTCATGTTGGCCAAGTTTTGGTTTGGTTTGGTTTGAAGGACTGTGAAGGTGATGAGGCGCTGGCACAGGCTGCCCAGAGAAGCTGTGGTTGCCCCACCCCTGGCAGTGTTCAAGGCCAGGTTGGACGGGGCTTTGAGCAACCTGGTCTAGTGTGAGGTGCCCCTGCCTATGGCAGGGGCTTGGAACTGGATGAGCGTTAAGGCCCCTTAACCATTCTAGAACTCTATGTTTCTATGGCTGCTTAAAAGCAATTCTCTTTTTCAGGTGCAGATTCTGCAAGGCTGGCTGAGGTGGGTTAGGGTGATGAGCAAAGCAGGTGCTGATGCAGAGCAGGAAGTTGTAGAGGCAGCAGGGGGGGCCTCTCCTGGCAGGGAGATCACCAGGCAGGAAGAGTGCATTTCCCAGTGGCAGAGGGGGAATAATGGCAGCGGGGGCATAATGGCAGCGTGGTGGGAACTCCTGTGGGCACAGGCAATAGTGCAGCCCAGCAGCACTCAGGCACCAGGGAGCAGGGCTTGTGCCCCTCAGCAGCAGCCTGCCCCAAGTTCTGCCTGCACAGAGCAGCTTAACCACCCGTGGGGGTGAGAAGTGGCAGCTGGATGCAAGGCTTTCAGTTGCTCACGAAGTGGGACACCAGCATCTGGAAAGTTTTCCTGCTCCGTCCCTTTCTCTGGCTTGTAGGGCAGGAGGCCTGGAATGCATCCCAAGTAACTTCACAGCTTTACATCCTTTGATGACAATATGTCTTTCTTGGATTCAGTTTTGCATTACTCCATTGGGCATATCAGAAATTGCCCTGAAGTTCATTAGTGACATTCCTTTTTTTTTTCCCCAAAGAAACTCAAGAGCCTGCTTAAAGATGCTGTTGCTTCCTGTCCTGGGTCAGCACTTCTTACAAAACATGAGTCTATGCTACTTAATAATTTAAAAGGTTAATTTACTTTCTTACATCACCTAAAGAATGCAGCTGATTTTGCTTTCACTATAAATTAGTTGTAATTGAAAATAAATCCCTATTATTCCATGTATCCTTCTGTTCAGCACTGATGAATCAGCTGAATTCAGTGTTTGTCTCTGGTTAAAAAAAGATAAATGTAACACTGACAGGTTACACTTGCGCAAACTATGAGGCAGTTTACAAAGTAAGCCATACAAGCACAACCCATGACACATGGTACCCGTCCCAAAGGCAGCCACAGGGTGACCATCATCATGGCATTAACCCCAAAGGAACAGCAGATGTTTAGGAAGGGCTCTTCCAGTTAAAGACTAAGATTCAGTGCAGTTGAAGACACTCAAGCCAACAACGAATGTGCCTAAACAATCCAGAAATTCTAACTGATGCTTGAGCTTCCCCCACCCCTTCCCTCTAAATCATGAAATCTAAGAAACAAACATTTCATGCAAAAGAAAGGCTCTAAGATGGTGTCATGGTTTAAGAAGTTTTCGCCATGCTTCCGGTAACATCAACCAGTTCAGTTCTTTCAGAAAGCTGGAGAACGGATTGATCTGAGAGACTCTTGGTCGGGACCAGGACAGGGGCTGTTGCAGTGACTTGCTCATAATTCCATGTAAGGATCTGAATATTCGGTCTGTGTTATCCAGAGCCCTCTCTCAACATGTGGTTAGTTTTAATTTTCAGATGAAATGGCACTACACATCCACTATAATAAATTCCATGTTTAATGTGGTAAGCCTTCCAAAAACTTGCTAATTTACTGTCTTCTGTACAATTTAAATGGATGTAAATAACTGATCTTGGACACAGTATACTCACACTTTTTTTAATAAAATGCTCAAGAACAGGTTAAGCACTGTAATAAAATTTCCCTTTTTCTAAGCTAGCACCGAGTAGCCTCTTCTTTGCAAACACCAGAACTAATTACATATAAACACACAGCAATGGTGTAAAAATGGACATTTATTACAACTAAACCAATGTGACAGACAGAGGTCAAACAGTTTGTCACAACCACAACAAAGCTTAATCCAGCCAAGCACATACAAGTGACAGTGTAAACATTAAAAACATGTTTAATACATACAAAATTGCTTCAGATTTGATTTAAGGTAATTTTAGCACTTCAAGCTCACACATGAGTCATTCTGCTACCACTTTCCCCTCACCTACCCCTGCAGGTCGTGCACCGGGAAAATGCAAACCACTGCCTTGGTGTGCCCTAGGATAGAAACTGTCTCCAGCAATCGATGTGTTTAAATCCCAGAAAGGCCCAACACAAACGAATTCCACCACTGTGAGTTCACAGGCTCCTCCCTGGCACTGCCCTTTTGCTGTCCTACGCATTTATTTATACTGGGATCTGTATCAGCGGCTTGCCTGTGGCAACACGGAGCCGGTCCCAGTGGGTTAAATTTAACCTAGATGGCATCAAGCTGCCAGTCTGGCTCTCCAGATGGCCGTGTAGAT